TTTTGAATTGTAACTCTCACAGTTCCCACACGTTGTGAGAGGAACCCGGTGGGAGGTGATTAAATTATGGGGGTGGGTCTTTCCTGGGCTGTTGTCATGACAGTGAATGTATCTCATGAGATCTGATGGTTTTAAAAACAGTTTTCCTGCATGAGCTCTCTCTTTGCCTGCCATCATCCATGTAAGATGTGACTTACTCCTCCTTGCCTTTTGCCATGATTGTGAGGCCTCCCCAGCCATGTGAAAGTGTAAGTCCATTAAACCTCTTTTACTTCCTAGTCTCGGGTATGTCTTTATCAGCAGCATGAAAATGGACTAATATAGTAAATTGGTACCAGAAGTGGGGTGCTACTGAAAAAGATACCCAGATATGTGAAAGTGACTTTGGAATTGGGTAATAGGCAGAGGTTGGAACAGTTTGGAGGGCTCAGAAGAAGACAGGAAAACTTGAGATAGTTTGGAATTTCCTAGAGACTTGCTGAATGGCTTTGATGAAAATGCTGATGATATCGACAATGAAATCCAGGGTGAGGTGATCTCTGATTGAGATGAGGAAATTGTTGTGAACTGGAGTAAAGGTGATCCTTATGTTTTAGCAAAGAGACTGGCAGCATTTTGCCCCTGCCCTAGAGATTTGTGGAACTTTGATCTTCAGAGAGATGAGTTAAGGTATCTGGTGAAAGAAACTTCTAAGCAGCAAAGCATTCAAGATGTGACTTGGGTGCTATTAAAGGCATTTTTTTCTTTTTAAGAGATGGGGTTTTGCCATGTTGGTCACGCTGGTCTTGAACTCTTGACTTCAGGTGATCTGCCCACCTCAGCTGCCCAAAGTGCTGGGATTACAGGCATGAGTCACTATGCCTGGCTGACAATCAGTTTTATAAGAGAAGCAGAGCATAATAAGTTCAGAAAATTTGCAGACTGACAATGTGATAGAAAAGAAAATCCAATTTTCTAGGAGAAATTCAAGCTGGCTGCAGAAATTTGCATAACCAATGAGGAGCTGAATGTTAATCACCATGACAATGGGGAAAATGTCTCCAGGGCATGTCAGAGATCTTCATCACAGCCCCCTCCATCACAGGCCTGGAGACCTAAAAGGAAAAAGTAGTTTTGTGGGCTGGGTCCAGGGTTCCAGTGCTGGTTGCAGCCTAGGGACTTGGTACCCTACATCCCAGCCACTCCTGCTGTGACTGAAAGGGCCATGGCTTCAGAGGGTGCAGGCCTCAAGCCTTGGCAGCTTCCACGTGGTGGTGAGCCTGTGAGTGCACAGAAGTCAAGAATTGAGGTTTGGGAAGCTCTGCCTAGATTTCAGAGGATGTATGAAAATGCCTAGATGTCCAGGCAAAAGTTTGCTGTAGGGGCAGGGCTCTCATGGAGAACCTCTGCTAGGGCAGTGTGAAAAAGAAATGTAGGGTTGGAGGCACCACAGAGTACCTACTAGGGCACCGCCTAGTGGAGCAGTGAGAAGAGGGCCACTGTCCTTCAGACCCCAGAATGGTAGATCCACTGACAACTTGCCCCATGTGCCTGGAAAAGTTGCAGACAATGCCAGTCTGTGAAAGCGGCCGGGAGGGAGGTTGTACCCTGCAAAACCATAGAGGTGGAGCAGCCCAAGACCATGGGAACCCACCTCTTGCATCAGTGTGACCTGGATGTGAAACATGGAGTCAAAAGAGATCATTTTGGAGCTTTAAGATTTCACTGTCCTGGCCGGGCGCGGTGGCTCAAGCCTGTAATCCCAGCACTTTGGGAGGCCGAGGCGGGTGGATCACGAGGTCCAGAGATCGAGACCATCCTGGTCAACA